ACTTGTTTACAAAAAGAATTTGAAGCTTTGATAACTTCTAATAATTATACTCGAGCACTTTCGCAGGCTGTGATATCATTTTCATGGCTCTACTCAAACTAAACGTTTTATCTTCTTGTTTGTTTTTTATACGGTTAGAACACCTTTGCTGGTATTTGTCTCCTCCTGTCATCCGGATGTCTCTTTAAATTTGCCTGTATTCGAGTTACATCAGGTAATATCCTCTGTATTGGTATTTCTCTAGGTTCATTGTTTTTAGGAATGTGTATTGTATGGTGTAGTATATTTGTATTTGTTCTTCAATGAGTGAATTATGACTGTTGAATTTATGGATGTTTAGGACACCTAAACATCCACAAATTCAAATGTCATAAAACGTTCAGTTTCCAGATAAAACGTTCAGTTTGAGTAGAGTCATGAATATAATAGCACTGCTATCGAAAGCGCTCGCATATAATAATTAGAAGTTATTAAAGCTTCAAATCCAAACTATTTTTTGAAGTCCAGAATTTCTTAGCCCTGAAACAAGCGAATGGCGCCATATCACTGGTTATGTCAGATAAAATAGAAAGGTAACTTAATCCTGCAAAATGTAGGATACATTTGAACAATCAGAAAAGACGCATATTAAGATTTCATGCTAGACAAAAAGGAATAAATAGCCAGTTTCAACTTGTGAATTGAAGATGATGAAATTTCTCAGTGCTCTACGGTAAAGTTTTAAGGTGTCCACTCAGCTGGAAAACTCATTGTGAAACGATTCTATCAAAATTGAACTCCATGAATTATCTTCAGAGAAACCTCCATAATATTTCAGACCTGAAACAGCTGATTATATTTGTTTGAAGGTGGTTGACAATGTTCCTTGGTGAATTTCACTAGTTCGGACTTTCATTGAAATGGATCAATATGATATGATTTGAAATCTGAAGCAAAAAAACTGAAATGAAATTGTGCTGCAAATCCTGAGTAAAACTAAGAGGCCATTGAAAGTCCGCATTTCCGAGCACAAGAAACACACACAGCGAGGAGAAACTAGCAAATCGGGAATATGAGAGCATGTTTAGACCCATCAACATAACATCAAGTGGTCCCAAGCTAAGATCATCCACAGGGAGAAACACTGGTTTAGAAGGAAATTCGAAGAAGCTGCATATATTTTGTCCAATGACGCATTCAGCCAAGGTAGCGTAGATATAGGCAACATATGGAACCCATAATGAAGGGGAGAATGGTCAGCTTCCGCCATACGGCCATCTCTTGCTGAACTGGTGAAGCAGAAAGAGGGAAGAGAGGATAGGTGAAAGCACTCGAATGACCTATAAATAGTCATCTCTCTGAGAATTCTGTCCAGTCATCAACCGAAGACGATTGTGATGCTAACAATCGATACGTCGTGAAGTAACTTGGCTTGTGGTCTTTCGATTTTTAATTTTCATTCCATTCAAATTGTTCAACTTTGTGCATAATTTTCATTTTATTGTAATTTCATTTCAAGTTTTTTGCTTAATATAATTGTTGTTTTTCAGCTATTCTTCCAATTTTCATTTTCATTTGTTATTTTAGAGATTTCAAATAATATATCAGATAATGGAATTCCGAAAAAATGAAATGCAACAGATTATGATCTATCATGCTCAAGTTGAATCCCGTCTTCGGTATGGTATTGCTTTCTGGGAAGCTTTCTCCTTATACAAAGATGTTTTTGTCGCCCAGAAAAAAATCACAAGATATATAGTAGTAGTCTCAAGAAATACATACAATCTGTGAAGGCATCAACAAAATTTTTGAAATACTAACATCACCTTAAAGTGAGGTAAAGAATTGAATTTAATAATTAATCATTACTCGCACCTGTGCAAAAAATAACGTCATCAAAATCTTCTTCTGAATTATCTTCAAATTTCACACCATTTCCACAAAATTGTTTGATTTGCGGCTTCTTCGTGAATTTTGCTGTCAATGATTCAGGCATATAAGGATTTTCACGTCTCTGACTCAAGGTGACCTGAAAAGTATTCAATAATGTCACATGTTTCGGATTATAGATCGATTCATGAAAAAATATATTCCGAGTTGAAAATTCTCATCTCATCTTTTGAAAGCTTTGAATTCAATTACATGTCTCATCTTCAACTCTACATAAAACTACAGCAAACAAATCTTCAATTCGTCGATCAGGACGGTGATTTTTGATTCATTACATAATGTTTTTTTGAAGACTTCAGTACCGAATGTGAAAATTGTGAAGGCAAGTGGAAAGGAAGCATTTCGAATTTTGACCATATTAATCATTCGAACTGAGCGAGGTACGAACACCACTAAATCCAGATCTGAACGCCCAACAGAAGCAAATACGAAGGAAAATGAAATGGAAGGTATACAAAAAGCTTCTCGGCCGAATGAATATAAAAATCATACATACACAAAAAACTAAAGCCATCTTGCCCTACGTCGGAGGAGATACAGATAAAATAGAAAGAATTCTAAAATGACACAACAACAATAAACCTACGAAAACCTTCAAAACTTCCTTAAAAGATTGAAAAAACAAAGTGAACCTAGAAAATCAAGGCATTTATGAGATGACATGTGGAGATTGCAGCGGAAAATGAGCTCTACACAGACATCAACTTGATAAGGGTCACAACATCGACTTCAAAAGCTGCAAACTGATTGCAAGCAACATATAACCAGAAGGCTTCTCACCAAGCAAGCACGACGCCGGCCAATCAGGGTATTCCACGCCAAAGTTACAACCCACGGCAGCTCATAAATGGTCAAGCATCGACAAGAACTACTACAGGACATTCAGATTCAATTCTCTCGAGTAGTGTGTGCGTTTGTGTCGCTTAACAAGTAGGTTTCAGGCTTTTTGGGGGAAGTGATTGGCATTGTATGTCATTTACTTGCTCTCCTGGGCCTGAGCCTATCAGAACTGTCTAATGACAGTTGACAGTTGACAGTCCTATGGCGACCGTCCAGGAGTCTTCGTGTTTCGCAAGGAGTGAGGTATATTCTTGAGTGTCCGTCACGGAACGCGACCTCCAAAGATACTTCCGCCGGCTCCATTCACTCTGGACATCCAGAGGACAAAGCTGCTCCGATCGGATCAGCTACACGGTACGGAGGCTATAAGTGTCGAGCTCCAACTGAGGAGGTCGTCATAGACTTCGGTCCACAACTCTACGCAGCACCGACTACTCCCAGAATCACTGGATCAACTGCTGATGTCGAGGTATACCCCCACAATTGCTGCTGGTGACTTCAACGCCAAACACCTTCTGTGGAGCAGAGCCACCAATACGAACGGCCGAGCACTCCATGCCCATGAGAACAGGCATGAGTATCGAGTGATGGGCCCAGGTAAGTCCACGTACTATTCTGGACGACGCAGACCTGACGTGCTGGACTTCGCACTGCTCAGGAACGTCTCCATGTTCTGTAAAGTCCACACTCTGTCGGAACTAGACTCAGATCATGACCGAGTCATCGTGATGCTGGGTGTTCGCTGTGAAACTACAATGAGTTTCCTCTCAGGATAATAAACCTTATCCGGGAGAAAAATCGGCTCAGACGAGTTCATCAGCGGACACTCTTTCCTGGCCAACCAGGTTGAATAGGCCGACTACCGAAATGAGAGGTGGAGCGAGTGTTTCGAATCGCTCGAGCCTGGGGAAGATGAGCTCTGGCGAATCACCCGCAGGCTCGGAACGGGGAAGACTGCTCCCTCCTCTCTTCACGGACAGCAAGCCACTTGGCTGCTGAGAAACCGTTGGCCTTTGCAGACACAATGTGGCTTGAGTTTTAACTCAACGTTGACCCGGACGTTGATAATAAATGTGATATTCGGCTGGAAAGCCGGGTTTGGCGAATCCTCAGGAAAAATTATAACGAAACAGATCCAGAACCCGCTGTTTGTTCAGAATGACCGTTCGATTAGTCTGCTGAGCTCAACGCGTTGTGCTATAATTGCTGACAGAAGAAGCTGAAGACCGAAATGTTCTGCCTGGCGAATAATTCGACTTCGAGAGGGCACATACCACCGAACTTCAGGCCCTGAGACTGGTCACAACATCCATCTCTGGGCTGAACAACAGGAAGACAGTCCATCTTGCCCTACCTGATATTTCAAAGGCCTTCGACCGAGTCTGGCACGAAGGACTCCTACACAAAATGCTCGCTTCGTCTGGTGGATGAGGTCCTTTCTGAAAGGTATAACATTTCAAGTCTGACGTGAAGAAACCCTGTCCCCCATCAGGCAAATCCAAACTGGTTTGCCTCAGGGAGGCAGCCTATACGTGAGCGACCTTCCCAGGTTCAATGACGTAAAGGTTTCCCTTTACGCTGAAGATACGGGTCTTCTCTGGTTCATGGATTGGGGGGTCGTCTACATGCAAGTGCATTGGACGACCTCGAATGCTGGTATTTTGACTGGAAGATCCATGCGAATCCAGACGAAAAGGCGATAGATTTGGGGAGATATAACGTAAGGCAGTCTCAAGTCAAGTACAGACTATTTCAGTTTTAAGTTTAGGCTATCAAGCAGAGCTCATGAATATAACAAACGCAATCTTGCCGAAACGTCGTATATCAAAGACGAACGGATGTACATCCAGGATACCACTTCCGCCTATGTATACATATATACAGCGTGACTCACGGTCGATGGTAGGTTAGACGTTTCTGGAAAACGCAAAACATGATTTTTTTGAAAATTTCACCTCCCACATTTCCTTACCTGTCCTATCGATCTAAAATATTTTCAGCATTGCGGTGTTGCCACTTCTATCAAAAAGTCCTAACAATTATATTATTTTTTTGGAACACCCCGTATATTAATACATTTTTGGAATTGCTCTAGTATTTTAATACTTTTTTGTTAATAATGTCCTATACCTATCTCTATCTGTTTTCGAGATAAAAAATAAATTGTGCTAAATACGGTCCAAAACATAGCCTTAATTGGAATTAAGTACATCGGTACTATCAATTCATGAAAAGTTGATATTTTGATGATAGTTTGGACAAACTCGAAATATTTCAATAACACCAAGAAATCGACTCCATATCATACAGGGCGTGCTAAAATTACTATTATTTCCATTGTGCATAAAAGTAGTCGAAAGTTCATTTTTTCAAATGAAACCCCCTGTATATTAGTCGATAAATTGTAAGATGGTGAAAAATGCTTAAAGATGATATACATGTCCCTATACCTAAATTGTCAAGTTTTCTTAATAAAGCCGTTTGTGTGGAAAAATTGTTATTCACGTTTTACCTACAAGTGTTGAAAGTGGCATTTTATTTTGTGAGTGGGGATTATTGCAAAACGAGCGTCAGCAAGTGGAGCAAACTCACGAGCAAAATAAAATCACTTTCAACAAATGTATCATACAAATTTTGTTGTATAACGTTACTGCTGATAATAAAAAAATTATAGGGTCCATGGGATTTGAACACATGATCTTTGAATTACAAGGCATATGTTACAACTACATACGCCAACTCACGTTATTTTAAGGAGGTTTATTGGTTAGTCATGAAGGACTTTCTACAGTTGGACTGAATACTACTTCGTCATCGTAACTTCACAGGGATTTAATATTACCAATAGCACGAACTGCATGTGTGAACTTTTCTAAATNTACTTAATTTCAATTAGGGCTATGTTTTGGACCATATTTAGCAGAATTTATTTTTTATCTCGAAAACAGATAGAGATAGGTATAGGACATTATTAACAAAAAAGTATTAAAATACCAGAACGATTCCAAAAATGTATTAATATACGGGATGTTCTATTCAAAAAAATAAAGTTGCTAGGACTTTTTGATGGAAGTGGCAACGCCGCAATGCTGAAAATATTCTAGATCGATAGAACAGGTAAGGAAATGTGAGAGGTGAAATTTTCAGAAAAATCATGCTTTGCGTTTTCCAGAAACGTCTAACCTTTCATCGACAGTGAGTCACGTTGTATATTATAAATCAAAAAAAGGTGAAATAGCGGTCACAACATTCAAAAATGAGGCAAAATCGCGGATTCGTGTTTCTGGTTGTTGGCTTCTCAGCGTTAGATCTTTTTCAGAAGTTCCAGAGGTACTTTGTTTCTGAGATACAGGGCGTTGAAGTTAAAGTCAATCGGTATTTATAAAATATTTATTTTTTTTCATTCTAATTTTTTCCAATAAATTTCGAATCTGTCAACACCTTTTCAAACAAATGAAATCTGAGCCTGTAACATCCACCTTGAAATTAATATTCACCTCATTTCAATCAGTCATTTTAAAAACTTCACTAGTCCACAAAATGAAAAAACACCAACAAATGTTTTGAACCTACCGTTTTTGACCACGAGAACATTATATCAGGTTTGCAATTCTTTCTTGAGCCGGCACATTACATTATTACATTAAACAAAATGATCGAATCATTTGTTTTCGTTACCTGAATGCAAAACATCGAAAATAATGGAGTATATTTTGGTATACCAATAACCGCCATCGTGGGATGTTCAATGTTTATTGTGTGCTTATA